GATATGATATAAACATGCCCATTAATAACAGCAACAAGAGGATTGAATTATTGAAGTACAAGAAGAAAGAAAGCAGCAATTGAGTAAAACTATTAAACCAGAAAAATATACTCATAAAAAACATTAAGGTCATTAAAACGGAGCTACCCTGTTTAACAACCACATTCAAAAGATTCAGTGAAAAAGTTTAGTTACATGAGAAAAGGAAAGAGAACTTACAGTTTCCAAACAACTGTAGCTGATTTGATGCATTAGTTTGATGCCGAAATTGAGTCTCATCCAAGAAAACAGGAAGCAAGCGATTTCCATTGTTGCCTCCAAACATTATCGCCGGATATGTGCTTGCCTACCTCAAGTATGTATCCTTGAAAGAATATTAATGAAGCTACCGATGATTATCTAGAAGAAAAGGGTAAAGGAAAAACTCATCATCAACTTTGAACAAAAGTTAACATCAAATATAAACAGCACCGAAAACCACATCAGTGAAATACTTTGTGCTATTTGGCTTGGGAGGTTAGGAGAGTTGATGGTCTAATGAAGCATAGTTATAAGTCAGTTTTGATATGATGATATTTGGTAAATATTTTCTCTCTCCTACTTGTCAAGTAATTTAGTGAAAAAGAACAAAATCAATAAACAAATGTATCTACGTGTTCAAACAAAAAGATTAAAATGGACAAATTTCATCTCAAGTTTTATTTGCAAACATTTATAAACTAATTTTGGGTAGAAACAAAAGTTAATTGTTCAGCATTTAGTGCAAATGTGGCAAAATAAAATATTTGAAGATGATAAAATAAATATTGACTTTCAATTATATCTAGGTGAAATCTTTTTGCAAATACAAAGGGAAAAATTAGTTAGAAAACAAGCAATTCATAAAATTAATCATATACTTCTTAAGATTAAAATCTAAAGTTCCAAAGCAGTTGTTTGCAAGTTCAGTAATACCAAGTAAATTGATTTGTAGTGAAGATAAGTACAATTAATCATACACAACTCAAGCTTCTTTTTTGTTTTTGGTGTTTCTTCTGCTTAGAAGCAGAAACTTTGCCAAACACAGTTTCAAAGTAGCTCAACAAATTTTGCTTGTTTAGTGAAGTAAAGACCAAACCATCAACTAAAAGAGTTCTGATTTTAACAAGTTAATAAAAGGAAAGGCTAAACACTGCCCTAGTGAAATATTGAGGAGCAATATGAAGGTCATATATATCTTCACTTTCATACATTCAGTATACATACTCTCGTAAGAATGCAAACATTTCATGCAAACAAATGTTGAATTTCAAAAAATAACAAGTTTTAGAGTTCAACAAAATCGTAAATTGAGTTTCAATAGCAATAGCCTTGTCCCACTAATCGAGGCTGGATACATGGATAAAAAATATCATGGGGGCTTAGTTAAAAACTAAACTACCAAGTATGTTGTTCACCATGAAATCCCTTTTAATTTGTCCAATGTCCTTTTTGATCTCTCTTTACTGCTCATGGGGCTAGAAATCATGTCATCTCTCCTCACCAATGCCTCGAATGGACTTCTTTGCATACCGAATTTCTATCTTCTTTTCCTCAATAAGTTATGCTAATATCTCTTCGTATACAATCATTCCTTATCTTGCCCTTTCTTCAGTGGCCACAGATCCATCTTCACTCCACCTATGGTCTCATAAGCTAGACCCAAGCTCGAATAAAGGAGAACAGTTATGTTAAGCTCTCAACAGGAAGCTTAAAACTTGTTGAAACCCCAATCATGGATCACTCAAGGAAGATATATTCACTATCAATCATAAATAAAAACAGTTCAACAGTAGGTGTCTGACCTCCAACAACAATATCCCTGAACTGTGGCTAATATTCACTTAAATAATCACATAAAGCACTTAGGGCAGCCAATCTTATGAAGAATCATATTTGAGAAAATGATTAAATGCCCAGCAATTGTTATATAACTAAATTATAATAAGAAGAAAAAAAGGATAGAAGTATTACAATGTTACTATGAATTGCCCAGAAAAAAACAATAATAATGAATGGATTTTTCCTACATCAGTTGAGTAGTTTGGAAACTGGTAAAGAAAATATATATGATCCCCTAGGCATATATGTTCTTCTTCCCATTTTTTTCTGTACAATGGAGAAAAAATGCCCTTGGTTCCCTTTCAACAAAGGAAACCATGGACTTGTCAAATAAATCTGAAGGTATTCATTAGAATTTGATTGTATCAAACGAATTGGCAAGACAAAAGAGTAATCAAAACTGAATATCCAGTCAGCAGATAAGCCAAACAAACTAGACGAACATCATATTTATTAAACATGAAAGCACAACAACATTTCACTCAGATCAATAACAACTTAAAAAAAATCAAATGGAAAACTATTAAACGATGACATACATAACAGAACACGACAACAAAAAAAATTATTATCTTAGAACATCAGAAGAGAAATGGAAAGCTGCAACACAATCCAGCATCAACTTAGCAGGCACTATAATCTAGAAAGTCAAAAGCTTTGAGACATCAAAAGATGAAGATCAATTCAAACAAAAACCCAGTACATACCTTGAGATGGGAACCTTTTACAAGAAAGAAAAAAAAAACAAAGATGAGGCTGATACAGATACAAAATAACGATGGAACAAAAGGCTAACAGAGAAGAAGAAGAAGAAGGTAAGAGATCTAAAATGAAAGATTAANCATCTCTCCTTCTCCTATACACCAGTAGTTTCCTATCAACAACACAGAAAGAGAATTGCAGTGCTAGCAATGACAAGTATACTCAATCAGTAGCTTGCTGGTCAAACACAGTACAAGATAAGGAACTGCATTAAATGATATGAAAGGACATACAGATAATTTACATGGTAGTTTAAGGAACTGCATTAAATGATAAATTGAAACAAATATGTAATAATTTCTAAATTTACAACACAAAGAAAGGGAGTTTCAGTCCTAGCAATGACAAGTATACTCAATCAGTAGCTTGCTGGTCAAACACAGTACAAGATACAAGTAAAGAAAAGGTACCCCTAGTTCCCAGAAAAATAAGTTTCACGCCAACACCATTACCATTTGTGCTTCAAAACCAAAACGTAAGAGAAAGAATGCAGGATAAGTAGATATTCAAATTGTCAGCATTGATTATGTCAGACAAAATTAGGTGTGACATGCAAGCAATCGAAACACACAAAACGTACATACAAGCAAAAATCAATACAAGTTCATAACCCAATCTATCACAGTAAAACAAAGGAAAGGATATGATATAAACATGCCCATTAATAACAGCAACAAGAGGATTGAATTATTGAAGTACAAGAAGAAAGAAAGCAGCAATTGAGTAAAACTATTAAACCAGAAAAATATACTCATAAAAAACATTAAGGTCATTAAAACGGAGCTACCCTGTTTAACAACCACATTCAAAAGATTCAGTGAAAAAGTTTAGTTACATGAGAAAAGGAAAGAGAACTTACAGTTTCCAAACAACTGTAGCTGATTTGATGCATTAGTTTGATGCCGAAATTGAGTCTCATCCAAGAAAACAGGAAGCAAGCGATTTCCATTGTTGCCTCCAAACATTATCGCCGGATATGTGCTTGCCTACCTCAAGTATGTATCCTTGAAAGAATATTAATGAAGCTACCGATGATTATCTAGAAGAAAAGGGTAAAGGAAAAACTCATCATCAACTTTGAACAAAAGTTAACATCAAATATAAACAGCACCGAAAACCACATCAGTGAAATACTTTGTGCTATTTGGCTTGGGAGGTTAGGAGAGTTGATGGTCTAATGAAGCATAGTTATAAGTCAGTTTTGATATGATGATATTTGGTAAATATTTTCTCTCTCCTACTTGTCAAGTAATTTAGTGAAAAAGAACAAAATCAATAAACAAATGTATCTACGTGTTCAAACAAAAAGATTAAAATGGACAAATTTCATCTCAAGTTTTATTTGCAAACATTTATAAACTAATTTTGGGTAGAAACAAAAGTTAATTGTTCAGCATTTAGTGCAAATGTGGCAAAATAAAATATTTGAAGATGATAAAATAAATATTGACTTTCAATTATATCTAGGTGAAATCTTTTTGCAAATACAAAGGGAAAAATTAGTTAGAAAACAAGCAATTCATAAAATTAATCATATACTTCTTAAGATTAAAATCTAAAGTTCCAAAGCAGTTGTTTGCAAGTTCAGTAATACCAAGTAAATTGATTTGTAGTGAAGATAAGTACAATTAATCATACACAACTCAAGCTTCTTTTTTGTTTTTGGTGTTTCTTCTGCTTAGAAGCAGAAACTTTGCCAAACACAGTTTCAAAGTAGCTCAACAAATTTTGCTTGTTTAGTGAAGTAAAGACCAAACCATCAACTAAAAGAGTTCTGATTTTAACAAGTTAAGAAAAGGAAAGGCTAAACACTGCCCTAGTGAAATATTGAGGAGCAATATGAAGGTCATATATATCTTCACTTTCATACATTCAGTATACATACTCTCGTAAGAATGCAAACATTTCATGCAAACAAATGTTGAATTTCAAAAAATAACAAGTTTTAGAGTTCAACAAAATCGTAAATTGAGTTTCAATAGCAATAGCCTTGTCCCACTAATCGAGGCTGGATACATGGATAAAAAATATCATGGGGGCTTAGTTAAAAACTAAACTACCAAGTATGTTGTTCACCATGAAATCCCTTTTAATTTGTCCAATGTCCTTTTTGATCTCTCTTTACTGCTCATGGGGCTAGAAATCATGTCATCTCTCCTCACCAATGCCTCGAATGGACTTCTTTGCATACCGAATTTCTATCTTCTTTTCCTCAATAAGTTATGCTAATATCTCTTCGTATACAATCATTCCTTATCTTGCCCTTTCTTCAGTGGCCACAGATCCATCTTCACTCCACCTATGGTCTCATAAGCTAGACCCAAGCTCGAATAAAGGAGAACAGTTATGTTAAGCTCTCAACAGGAAGCTTAAAACTTGTTGAAACCCCAATCATGGATCACTCAAGGAAGATATATTCACTATCAATCATAAATAAAAACAGTTCAACAGTAGGTGTCTGACCTCCAACAACAATATCCCTGAACTGTGGCTAATATTCACTTAAATAATCACATAAAGCACTTAGGGCAGCCAATCTTATGAAGAATCATATTTGAGAAAATGATTAAATGCCCAGCAATTGTTATATAACTAAATTATAATAAGAAGAAAAAAAGGATAGAAGTACTACAATGTTACCATGAATTGCCCAGAAAAAAACAATAATAATGAATGGATTTTTCCTACATCAGTTGAGTAGTTTGGAAACTGGTAAAGAAAATATATATGATCCCCTAGGCATATATGTTCTTCTTCCCATTTTTTTCTGTACAATGGAGAAAAAATGCCCTTGGTTCCCTTTCAACAAAGGAAACCATGGACTTGTCAAATAAATCTGAAGGTATTCATTAGAATTTGATTGTATCAAACGAATTGGCAAGACAAAAGAGTAATCAAAACTGAATATCCAGTCAGCAGATAAGCCAAACAAACTAGACGAACATCATATTTATTAAACATGAAAGCACAACAACATTTCACTCAGATCAATAACAACTTAAAAAAAATCAAATGGAAAACTATTAAACGATGACATACATAACAGAACACGACAACAAAAAAAATTATTATCTTAGAACATCAGAAGAGAAATGGAAAGCTGCAACACAATCCAGCATCAACTTAGCAGGCACTATAATCTAGAAAGTCAAAAGCTTTGAGACATCAAAAGATGAAGATCAATTCAAACAAAAACCCAGTACATACCTTGAGATGGGAACCTTTTACAAGAAAGAAAAAAAAAACAAAGATGAGGCTGATACAGATACAAAATAACGATGGAACAAAAGGCTAACAGAGAAGAAGAAGAAGAAGGTAAGAGATCTAAAATGAAAGATTAAGGAAAGTGGATGAATGAATGATGAGAGTTATGAATAGAATATAGGAAGGAGTGGGTGTTGCATAAGAAATGGAGACAACTATTATTAATTTGTGGGATTTTTTATGGTCTGAAAAAATATTAAAATTTTTATATTCAATAAAGTATTTAGGAACATTCATGGATAAATCTTTACTTTACTACTTCTTACGTGTTTTTTCTATTTATTTGGAATTAAATAATTTATTATTAGACATGAAAAGCATTTTTATGTTGGTACTTTAAACTAATTTACAATATTCATATTCAATAAATTGTATTTAACAATTTTATGATGTGTTCAAAAAATATTTAATCTATCACTTCTTATGTTTTTTACTGTTTTATTTTAAAGTAAAATTTTAATTTATTACTTAATTTTTTTATTTGTTTAGTTAAAAGAAACATTTTATGGATTGATGTTTTATAATGAAATTTTTGTTTTGAAACAGTTTATTTCTGTTATATATATATATATAATTTCCTACCTTAACTTTTCACTGTATGACCTTTTCTGTGTTTGTTCTTGAAAACGGTAAAATTAAAAGTAAGATAAGGACTTTGAAATTAATACGAAAAAGGTTAAAAATAAATAAATATTTTTGAAGTTTGGTTTTGGTGTTTAACCTTGATATAACAAGACATTTCAATTATACACATTTTTATTATCCTCGTTTTCAGAAAATCAATTTTACTTTTATTAAATATTACATTATTAATAATTTTTCTATAGAAAAATAAATTTTATTAATTTACTTGAGATTGAAAACTAAATAATCATGATAGAGTATCCTAAATACAATATGATCATGATAAATAGGATAACTTAAGACACAATATAATCATGATAAATAGGATAATCCTAGACATAAATAATCATGATAAATATGGTAAACCTAGATATAATATAATCATGATAAATAGGATAAATATTCTAACACTTCCCTCAAGCTGGAGCATACAAATTGTACGTGTCAAGCTTGGAATAAATAAACTCAGTCCAACAAAATCAACTTGTCTAAAATGTCGAGGCAATAGATGTGGTAACTCTGGCTTCGAATAAGATGTACATATGCTTCAGACCATCAAGAAAGAAACAAACCAGCGTAACCAAAGAGACTCCTCATAAGCTTGTGGACAATAATATTGGACAACCACGAAACTTCATCTAGCACCATGAACCTTCAAGTAGGATGACTTTGACAAAGTTGATTTCCATCAAAAGTGAATGATGAGTGATAGACAACGACAAACTATAGAGACGGGATTGTCATCAAGTAAAGATGGAGCTTGCATGGCTAAAAGCGACAAAAATGCAGGGACTGCTATCTTTGACTAGTTAGGGCCTGTAGTGGCTGAAAGCGACAAAAGTGCAGGGACTGCAATCTCTGACTAATTGGGGCCTGCAGTGGCTGAAAGCAGGGACAGTCATCTCTGACTAGTTGGGGCCTCTAACTAGTGTCTGACAAGTGTATGGAAACATACTCCCCTCATTATAGGGACTAAATTGTCATTACTGACTGATGGGGCTATAGGGACTAAATTGTCATCACTGATTGATGGAGCCGGTAAGGACTAAATTGCCATCAAGTAAGGATGGAGCTTGTAGTGGACAAAAACATACTACAGGGACTAAATTGCCATTAAGTGAGGATGGGGCCTGTAGTGGCTAAAATCGACAAACTACAGGGATTAAATTGTCATCAGTGACTGATGGGACTTGTAGTGGTTGAAAGATACTCCCCCTCACGGCGAACGAGGAAAATTGTGAAGGTGGAAGGTCATAATGATCTCCTTTATTCATCAAAGCACCACTAGAAAATATGGTTGGATTGTGTTGAGAACCGTAAGGATGATAGATTCAAGGAACAAAGATTGAGACTTATGATGACATTAAAGGCCAAAGACACGTTGGAGGTCCAAAGGTTCTATGCTAAACTACTCCTAAATGGTGATACTTAACACTGTATCACAAGAAGTATGAGCTAAACAAACTAGCCTCAAGCCCAAGGAGAAAGTGACCAACAATGATTGAAGAAAAAAGTGACAAAGTGGTGTTAAGAGCGGTTTGCTGACTTTGAAATCAGGAACCAATGACGTATATGGACTCAACATGATTCAACGAGTCAAACAATGATGAAACAGAGATCTAAAGGACTTAGGGTTCCAAAAATATCAAAGAATAAAACCCTAGGTTTGAGTCACAAACATCGAAACTAAGAAACAAGTACCAAAACGCACTCAGGAGCTCCGAAGAGACGAATGGCAATGACGTAGTGTAATTTTGACACGCGTGACAAACACAAGCTAGAAGCTGATTGAAGAGAAGTTGTGCGTGACGGTGCATGTGGAGGAGAATGAGGCAGCGACCACTAAGGATGGGTCATGCTCCTCGATGCACACAAAACCCCTAACTTCCCTAGAGAAAACGAGACGACAACAGCAGCGAAGGTCTGATAGATGTGGCATGCGTAACGGTGCTTGGATGAGAACTAGCCCTCGACACAGGCGGGGTTGACTGTCGCTCAAGGAGGCGATCCAGATTCATTGGTCGCCAGACTAAACTGTGGCGGTAGCCGTCGACGGATAGTGGCGGACGACATCGAAATGGCAGGGAACAGAGGTTGATGGTGACAAACTTATGTGGAAAGCTCCTCACAGTGGCAAAACAGTGCCAATTGGGCAACGGCAAATGGCGCTGGACAATGGCAAACGACAGCGGACAGCAACAAACAGCACCAGACAGTGGCAAGTTGCAGACAACAACTAGGGTGGAAGACTAGACAAAAACCAGAGCAAGACTGCTCATTGAAGTATTTCATAAAAGATGAAATTTTTAAGGCCGCTGGTGGCGGCAGCTACAGGCCACCAGTAGCAACAAAGAAAAAGTAGGAAGAGACTCAGACAACCTGCTTTATACCAACTTGAGATTGAAACTGTAAAATAATTATTGAGGCTTGATTGATCCTCTCATAATCTTTTATTTATAAAAATAAAATTATACAAGAGTANAGGCGGGGTTGACTGTCGCTCAAGGAGGCGATCCAGATTCATTGGTCGCCAGACTAAACTGTGGCGGTAGCCGTCGACGGATAGTGGCGGACGACATCGAAATGGCAGGGAACAGAGGTTGATGGTGACAAACTTATGTGGAAAGCTCCTCACAGTGGCAAAACAGTGCCAATTGGGCAACGGCAAATGGCGCTGGACAATGGCAAACGACAGCGGACAGCAACAAACAGCACCAGACAGTGGCAAGTTGCAGACAACAACTAGGGTGGAAGACTAGACAAAAACCAGAGCAAGACTGCTCATTGAAGTATTTCATAAAAGATGAAATTTTTAAGGCCGCTGGTGGCGGCATCTACAGGCCACCAGTAGCAACAAAGAAAAAGTAGGAAGAGACTCAGACAACCTGCTTTATACCAACTTGAGATTGAAACTGTAAAATAATTATTGAGGCTTGATTGATCCTCTCATAATCTTTTATTTATAAAAATAAAATTATACAAGAGTACATGATAATTAAGGTAACCTTAAACACAATATAATCATGATAGGGTAACCTAGACACAATATAATCATGATAAATAGGATAACCTAGACACAATATAATAATGATAGATAGGATAATCCTAAACATAATCATAATAAATGGGATAACCCTAGATATAATATGATCATGATAAATATGATAAATATTTTAATAAATTTAATTGCTGAATAATAATTTTATGTCCTTATAATTGTTTATATAGTAATATTTGCTAAAATTAAATAATCATAATATAATTAAATTATTGATATTTTAATATATTTTAAAAAATATATTTTACATTAATTTTAATTTAAATAAATAAGATACAAAATAATTTTGCACTAATTGAAGATCACATATTTTGGATATAATATATAATTTTAAATTAATGTAAAATTATATAATTTTATGTACATATGTACAAGTACACGAGTCATGAAATGTTTTTTTTTATAATAATAAAATATAATTAAATTATTATTATTATAATTATAAAGTTAAATATAAATAATTCTATTGTAGAAAGTTATTTTAATTTAAAAAATAGTTAAATTTAAAAGGGTTTAAAGGTAAGAACCTAGAAAATAGATTATTAGAGTTGATAGGTGTACTGAGTATTTTATTTTAAAATAATTCAATAATATAAATAGAATTTTCTAAACTCGTCTTATTACTTAAATTACCGTTTATCTCTCTAAAACTCTTTCTCTTTGCTTTCTCTCACATCTCTCTAAGATTTCTCATTCTCTGATAATTTGTTTGATGATCAGGAAGTTTCTAGGAGATCACATTTGAGTTATCTCCACATCTAGCCGATAATTTCAAGAATAAAGCTAATAAGTTTCGACTCTTTTTTCTTCTCCCATTCCTAATCTGTTTTTAGAAGAATATTGTACTGTTGCATTGTAGTGTTATTGTGGTTTGAATATGATTTTAAAGCATTTGGAGTAAGTAAGAGTCAATTACTTAGGTTTTAAGCTTAAAAAGTGAGCTTTGATGAGTGAGTTTGAGAAATACGTATTGGAGTGAGAAGGAAACTTGTTTAGCACTAATGTGAGATTATTTGGGACTTGTGACAGGTGTGTTTTGATTAACAACTTATATGTAGCACTTAAGTGGTTCCTTGTTGAGGTTTTGAAGTGTTTTTAGTGTGAAAAATGGGGTTTGGAGTAGTGATATTTAGGAGTAAGAGGTGTGTACTGTTTTGGACAATTGGGAATTGATTAAGAGAACTATTATGACTTGTCTAAACTCTTGGTTAAGAGAAATATGAGTTAAAATGAATTAGTACTGGAAATGTTGAGTTTTGTATGGTTTTAGATTCAATTTTAGGAGTTTTAACTAGTGAAATTTAATATTAGAAGTTATGGGCTTTATGTGATGATTTATAATCTATTACTGGTTATATTAGGACTTGCTCAAGTGGTTAGGTTGCAGAAATTTGGTGTATAAGGTGTAAATTTGATTTTAGGTGCTTCGGAGTGTCAAAAACGGTTTGATGCAACTAA